GACATCTACATCGGCGAAGTACACCAGTTTTCTTTCCATGTCAAATGCTTACGGTACTCCAAACCATCTTACACGGCGCTCGGAGCGTTATGAGTTTCCTACTACAAGCTCCTGCTGCTCCAGTGGCGCCTTTCATTCCATTCGCACCGGGCACTCGTTGAGTTGCCTTATCGCACAGCATACAATAGCTTTTTGTCAGTGGCACCTAGGCATCTGCCCGACGCTTGCTGCTCTCCCTGATGCGCTTTCCATCCACTGACGTTCCCTTCTTGTTAGTCGACATGCGTGGCGAATCCATAGGGGCCCCTAACACATCCTGCTGGAATCGAGATGAAGCAAACGTCGCTACTCATTTCACCAAACAGCTTATCCACATTGGCGTCCAAGCCCCTCAGATATGCCCTATCGCCTTTTACAGCAAATAACTGCGACCAGACTTTGCTGAACTTGGCGTCGAACTGTCGACCGTCAATTCCGTCCAGGGTCAAGAAAAAGAGGTAGTTATTATCTTGACTGCAAAACATGAAGGAGTCGACCGTCTTTGCGGGCCGAAGACTGCAGCCAACGTCCTGGGCAGATTCCTTGACCCATTCGATGAGCTTCTACCTCTTGCTTACTAATGATTCTCCTCTTTTTGAATCTCATATATTTACGTATATTTTGTACTCCTTACTGTTCCTTTCGATGGCTCACATTTGATTGTTTTTCTAACGATGAATTATTATTAGTAAGGAGGTGTTTAGGCTAGAAGAACTTAGCGATCACACCCCCCGATGATGGCGCTCGTTTACTTTATACGCACTAATTTTGACTCTTAATTCCATTTGTTAGTGTTTTACAGTAGCTTGATTGTGTCTGTTCGCATTCCACTATTGGTATTCGTTGTTGTATACGTTTCCACTTCCATGTTTTCTTGTTTTCCAATCTTTATCATTGCTATTTACTATTTTATCAACAATTATCAAGTAGTCATCACCCAGTCACTGAAAAGCCTCGGGTGGTCACTCACATGTAGTGGTATGATTGAGAGGCGGGACGAACCGATATTGTTTCTGAACTCGTACAGAAATTCAGTATGTCTTCTCCCCTTTGCGTGAGGCAGTCTGTTCTGGGAGCTGAAAAAGCTTACTGGATAAGATACGACCAAACATTCCGGACAAGATAGCTCACCGTATGGCTATCATCCTGAAATCAGGCTTCATCATCATAAAGAATAACAGAAATATTGGACAAGAGCAAAGCCAGGATAATCGCCTTTAGAAACTGCTGTTGGAATCTAACACTGGGAGCTTCCAGCAGCACTTTTTGAAAACCAGAACCGAAGAAATCTTGCAGCAAGATATCGCCTTGTTTGGATTGAAACGTATTGGTTCCCTTACAGACTTTAAAATGACTCAATCGAACTAGCTCGGCTCACATGTTGCTCAATCGTGATGCAGTGCTCGCTTTCCGGAAGGGCATGATCTACGGGAGCGAGGGTTGGTAGTTCGAATAGTTGTAATCAATACTAGATACTTTAGTTTATACCCAGGTATCATATGTTCATTCAAAATTACCCAACGGTTTCATTAACCAAGGTACCCTTTTTGAAGCCCCACTAATTATCCATTCAGACTTTGCTGAAACTACTACAGATATCTATCTTATCGGAAGCCACTCTCCTACCCACACTAAGCCACCCTCATAAGAGTCGTCCCATCGATTAGTCAGATCGCAACGAATAAACATTGAAACACCCTCGAAACGAGATCTCTGAATCCACATCACATTTAGGGACTATTATCGTACGCAATATTCAGCCCCATAAAGCGAAATTATCAAAACGCATGGACTAGTCCCCAAAATCGTTGGTATATCAACGGTATCGCGTTGGAAAACTCATCACATTGAGCGTTTTATTGATGGTAGTCTTAGGTTTCCCACTCACGTCGAGAATGCGATCGCTGAAGCCTGTAGCTCCCCTTTACTAGTCACTAACGTATTAAGTGATGTGGCCAAAGGTGGTGTAGTGGTAAGTGGCGCACTATCTTACACGCACGGTCAGGGGTTGGAATCCCGGATCGAAATCCGCTTAGGCCAACCAGGCCTTCCATCCCGCCGGGGTCGGTTAATTGGCACCAGACTCGTCTGGGAGGATAAGCACTGACTCGTCCATTAGATGGCCACCGTAAGTCATTGTATAGGCCACATACGCACTCATTACGCCACTACGACTCTGAATGGAAGTCGAGTGCGGGGGCGCATCCCTCAGACGGGATTGATTAACGCCAGAAGTTTATCCTTTATCCTTACCAAGTGATGTACCCAGTACACCACTCGTCTTTATAGAGCTTAGTTTTGCTCCATCTAGAATATCCGGTTAGTTTGGAATCCAGCTTTTAGAAAAAAGCATTTTCAGTCTCGAGATACTCCAAAACGTGTTCATAAGATTGTTATTACCCTGGATCATCAGAGGCTCAGAAGAGCGTTTCTCCTTGGTTGGTGATTGGAACTTTTAGGTTTCGAACCCTCCGGTAAAGCAGTATTGTTTCAGTTAATTTAGAGTTACTGTTTGGGCATCGAATTTTTCGTAGAGAATTGAATATGCTCCTGATGAAGATTGAAGAAACTGTGAGAAGGTTCCGGTATGGATCATCTAAGTACTCACAATAGGAATTCAAAACAGGTATTTATCTTTATTCTCTACCTTAGAACCACATAGTTTTGACGCCTTCTTCGGCAGGCGCTCTGCTCTGTGGAGAGTCGAGTTTTAAGAGGTAGGCTTTAGAAATTCAACTACCTAAAGTTCTATCTTTCGGGGATTTGACCGGACGAAATTTTCAAACTTTTGAAACCGTAAAATTTTAAGAATAGATGGAAAACAAGTTTGCTGGTAGTGTTGCGTCTTGGAGACTCGTGCTAACTTTCAGTGCATTGAATATTCCAGTATGTCTTATCTTTCGATGCGAGCGGATTTCTTTTCACAGACAAACAGCTCTGGGTACCACATCCGATGAGAAAAAAGAATAAGAACAATTCGACCGGAACTGTGTTTATGCTTTTAGTTCTTGATTCTGTGATTCTAGCTAAGTAATTTCAGTATCTTCATTTTGTACTTGCATAATTACCTCATCTATCGAATTCATGACGAATGCTCGTACTGATTTGTCGGGTTTCATTTATTAGCACTTCTAGCCCTTTCATTTCTTTCTCTTGACAGAACCAGCTTCAGCAGCATCAAGCAGACCTTTCAATGTCCTAGAAGCTGTTGATAAATAGCAGAACTCCGCATTCGACCGTGTTTCTATTTCGATGGAGCTCGACCTTGATTCAAGTTCGATGGCGCACTTTTATGGTGTGCACTAATAATTAATTGATCAACTAATTATCTAATTAAATAAAGTTTTGGTATATCTTTAGATGTCGCTTCCATTCAAGACGAACTCGCCTACCCCCGCAAAAGCCCACTTAAAATCTAAAATGTCACGCGCCCAATATAAAAGCTCAACGTCAACAGCCCACACGACTAATCCTGTCTGGGTCAAGAATGTTCAATTCGGGTTCTAACACAACTTCCTTCAGTAGACGATTCTTTGTCTCTGATTGGCTGCTTTCATAGTCCGCCGGCCGGAGGCGCCGCGTGCCCTTTGTTTACAACTGAATCTTGGTCGATACCGTCGGCCGAGTTGTCCCTCCGGTCGGCGGACTATGAAAGCAGCCGTACTTTTCGTCCGTTTCACGAAAATAACGAAATAGCATGCCAATTCAAAAATTTCTAGCGAGTGTTCCCAGCATGCAAAATATGCACATCAACATGAACTCTGCACAGCTACTAAACGTGCTCTGGATACCTGCTCTGCCTTGACTATTGTCTACGAAACCGTCACACACTTGACCTAAGCTGAGGTTTATGCCACCATTCAGGTGAAATCACGTTCCTCTTACTACAAGTAACAAAGTCTTGCAAATCTTTTGTTGCTGCCTCGGACGCAGTCTTTCCTTTTCATCTATCATAGGAAATGCCGTATCAATCCATTTGCTCAGAAATGTTTAATCAACCACAAGCACAACACCATCTCTTGTAATATTACATCTCTCTGGCTGAAACACGGGATCTTGTAATAAACCCGATGCCTGTTTATCTTTTCGAAGAATTGATCCTCCATTCACTTACTGATCGCATTAGTGTGATAGCCAGTAGAAGCTTGTGTTAAAAATTATAGGATATTTCCACCTCTGACGTTCTAGAACATCCGCTATCTGATGCAATCCACACCGGAAAAGTGTCCTCCGGTGTCGTGCGCAAAGGTTCGGGTCACTGTTACCCTGCGACTTTTAATGCAAACCTTACACGTTGCCGTCGTGAGTTGCTTCTTCCACGTTTGCTGCCCATTTTGGCTAGCTTCAAATACCTACTTCGATGTTCTGTGTCATAAATATGTTGTCGTCTGGAAAGCGGATATGATGGAAAGTAGCGGTCGTCCACCCCCTCTCCTATGTGTTTTCATTCCAAACGAGACTGGCTGCACCCTGCAGTGACTTCAATGCTAACCCTGTTCTAGAAAAACGGCTGAGCTTTGAATTGTGACTCAAGGAGGAGAATGGCATAAGCATGGTGGAAGACTCGTCGAGCATGTCGACTGCATGATAACTCGCAATTATAGAAGTCTTTTCATTCGTTATAGTTTAAGGAGCCACCAGATTATGGAATAGANGATCATGCCATTTCCAAGCAAAGGTTTTGTCATCCAAGCAGACTTGTTACGCTTGCATGCCAGTTTTCGTTTCAGCAACCAGTGGAGATGGCGCTAGATGAAGTTCTGGGACTAGAGTTTGAAAACTGCATTCGCAAAAGCCTTTTAGGTGCTGATATTGTTTCCTTCTCCTAGGGTAGCAATACCGCTTATTAATTGTTTTCAGTTCACCTGCGCCTATAAGTTGCGGCCTTAGTAACAGATCAGATAAGCGCTCATGAAAATGTTCGACCGCAATTTTATCCGACTTGTTATTCCTGATTGCTTATGCGTGATACGTCTGCGGGTCTGAGTAATGTTCACTTTCCACGACGAACAAGCCGAAGTAAGGAGGAAGTCGCTGTAGGTTGTGCTCACATGAACCCTCAGTGAGTTCTCAGATCCTTAATGTTAGGTTGTGGTTGGTTGAATCAGATCATTTTTGGGTTAATGTTTGCTTTCAGACTGCTTCAAAATTCACCTTACCACTCGTTTCTACCACCTGTTCTTGCTGCACTTAATATCACTCCAGAAGACTGCAAACTAGTGGCCAATTACGACCGGTCCTCGAATCAGTACGTCATCCATTCACACAGAGAAAAGTTCCTTCGGTGAACTCATGAGTGGAACGTAAAAAGTTGACGAATAGTAATCAATGAGGCAAATGTTTAGCGCCCCTACAAAGCTTAGTCCTTGTGAAGGAGAAAGCCCTTCACCATTACGGAGACCCGGAACACTGCTATTATGTCGAATATCAGTTGATTGCGTGCTTCTAAGTAGTGTTTCAAGGTTGGATATAAGCCTAAAAACTCATCTATCTACCGTAACACCGGAGAAGGATGTTATAGTCTTACGGTGACTACGGTCTTCATCGCACTTCAGGTCTATCAACTCGGACTCCTTCTATGCTCTTTTGAAATTAGCATTGATTTAATACTTGCATGATCTATTCCCATCTCTGTCTGTGAAATAGGTCGTGACTCTGAGTCTATGATTCCAAATCACCACACACGATGAGCGGCACAACCGCTCGGCCAATGCCGAAGACTACTAGTCACCCTCACACACCGATCGGCAAATGGCGAAAGGCGCCAGCATCGGTCACGTATCACGTCTAGCAGGTTTGAAGGTAAGTTGATTATAAAATGGTTTCGTTATCACGGTGATAGCACTAACCCTTTTACAAATTTACCGATGGAATATAAGTGAGACGTGGATCAAATTTTAATTCCTCTCATCTTTGAACCTCGGCATGTCTGTTGTTCTTGAAATCGTTAGTTTTTGCTTCTGCCTGGAGGTTTGTAGGTGGAATATTTATTCTAGCCGACGTTTCGACGGACTCGTCGTTTTC